AAATACTTAGCTATGTCCATTTTTGTTGTTAAAATTCAGAAAAAATATACTTTTTTGGAAAATCATCTTTGGATCACAGTTTCATTATCACAACTCATGAAATAAATTGTTTTTGGTACATTAACCAATCAACGTTCCAGAAAAGTACCCTACTTGTTTACAGGTTGGAGATGTCAACAGACATTTGTATTTGCAAGACCTGTACGTTTGTGAGACGGATGCTCCTAATCCTGCAGTCAGGTTTGAAATCAAGTTGAACTATATTTTTTTATGATCTGAGTTTTTCATTTGACCCCAAATCAGTTTCTTACTTGTTATAGCTTGATTAAATGTTACATTATTCAGTGGCCAGCACTTTTGATTTTACACTGAGCTTCTGTCAAACATTTGTTGTTTTTTTGCTCTATATTACATAGTCTGGTTACACTTTATTAATACATTTTCCTAATAATTCTTTCTTTGAATCAGTCTGCTTAAAGCAGGATTTGTGGATTAGCTCCTAAGTTTGGCATGATTTAGCTAAAAAATCTAAACTGAAACTAAACCCGTAATTCACATATTATAAAGGCCTTTGTTAAGATTGCTTCTTTTTAAAATGTAAATAATTGTAGGCTCATCATTGTCAGTAGTTTTGTTGACTCTCAGTTGTAAACCTCCACCTCTTCCCAGTGTATCCCAGTTCGCCTGCCACATCTCTGGCTGCAGCGCAGTCTTTATAGCCCTAGAGGAGTACGAGCACCACTACAACTCCCTGCACAGACATGTGTGTTGCTCCTGTCGTCGCTCTCTGCCCAGTGCTCGGCTCCTGGACATTCACATCCAAGAGTGGCACGACTCTCTCTTTACTATCCTTGCCCAGAGGCAGGACATGGTGAGCCTACTTTATTTATTTATTTTTTTTTAAATAAATAGTTAGAGTAGAGTAGAGTTTTAAGTGGTTTTGATGACTGTGACTTCATACTGTGCAGTACCAGTGTTTGGTGGAGGGCTGTGGAGAAAAGTTCAGGACTAGCCAACACAGGAAGGACCATCTTGTGAAAATTCACAAGTACCCTCCAGACTTCAGATTTGACAAACCCAAGAAGGACAAAAGGCAAGAATCTATCGTTCATATTTTGTCCACTAGGTGGCAGCAAGACACCACTAGTAATTTTTACTGGACCAAGGTTTATCTTTGAGTTTGATCTAAATTAAATATTTTAACGATTTACTACACGTTTCACGTAGGTTAAATATGCAGCTGTCGAATACTTTAATGTCAAATTATTTGATAATGTCTTTATTATGTTGACATTGTTTAAACTTTGGAAAAGCCTTAAATTAGATCGGTTATTTAGTTTAACTTATCTAATCTAGTTCCAATGTGACTTGTCCCAAAAAAAAAAAAAACATAATGGGAATCTAAAATGCTCAATGAGTACAGCAAGGACATGTTGCGGTATTTTTTTAACGATACGATCTTTATGTTAATAGAGCGAAGGAGACGACGAGACTGCAGCAGAAAGACACCGAGATGGAGGTGACGGAGGAAGTGTGTGACTCTGAGGGTGTGTGTGAGGTTTTGTGTGACGTCTTGTGTCACCATCCGGAGTCTGGAGAATCCATGGAGATGCACGTGTCTGAGAAAGAAGCCAATGGGATGACGAACCACGCGTCGGGCACCGAGCAGAGCAGTGAGCCACCAAGACCTGAGTACTTTAACAGGTTGGTTAAGACACACACACAGTTGCTGTGAAAGTTCGTCTTCTTTGTCTCGTTTTCCTCATGACTTTATAGATTTTTAGTAGCACTGGTGTAACATTAAACTTGCGGCTACTTTAAAACAGTTTTCCCACCTAACAGAGATCGACTTCCGAATTAACGCGCAGTCGATCGGTATTAGTTATTATGAGCATAGCGAACACTCATGTGTTCAAACTGACACTCTGAGAGGAAGAGCGAAAAAGGGGAGGAAGGTTAAGACAAGATGATTCGTTGCTGGAGGGTCATTACAATGTTGTTGGAATGTGAAAAGATTACAGGTGGTGATGAGGAGATGAACATGAGCGACACTTTGTGGGATTTCTGTGCACAAAACACGACATTAACATGATAATTTTACCTCACCAACACCGTGGTTCTTTTCATCAGAGTTCCCAGGACTGTCTGCTTTGGTCACGGATCGGTCCGAGGCTTCAGAGGACGGCGGGGACGAAGGAAATGAAAGAAAAACCTCCACTCGACGCTCTGAACAAAAAAGGTTAATTTCCTATACATTTTTTTTACTGTTTTTAACCTACACAAAATACATTCGCTTTGATTAAAAAAAACGTGTATGTTGATCAAATATTTCAAGTTTAAGATTGACATGACCCTAAAGGCAACATTTTTTCCGTTTTATTAATTGTAAATTGTAAAATACATTTTACATATAAAATACGCTGTACAGATTATTTCAGTCCAGGTGATTTTTCCAAAGGTTGCAAAAATAGTGTATTTTTTCATTTCGTAACCCAAAGTGACTCATCTAAGGCTCTTCAAAACATCCGTGCAAAAAATATATATGTTTAGAGGTAATATTTTTAGAAAGTTAAAATTATATGTAGATTTACTTCTCGTCATTTTAATTACATTTGATTTTACTGATCTAAATACAAGTCTACCTTAAGGTTGCACAACATTCGTGTTGAAATAGACACATTTTTCATCAACCTCAGTCACAATCTAGGCACAAATCCACATGTCAGACATGTTTGGTAACTTTTCCTGCTACCTTCAGATTGTATCCAGAAACGCATTTTTTTAAAAATCCATCCGGGGAATAAACTTTTACATTTAACATTTAAAACTGATATTTGGAGGTGCGATTTTTAAAAGGCCTCTTCAATTCACATGAGTGACATCTGTAGTATTGTACCATTTCTACGGACACAAAAAATGATGAAAAGGTATATAAATTAATCAGTAAAACAGAAACAAAAATGCAGAAATTACTAAAAGTAATAGTACCGAAAAGCGGAAGTACTTGAAATAAAAGTAGAGTGGAAAATGTAGTCTGAGAAGAATACATTTTTCTCTCTAATAAAAACACTCACATGAGAGCAGTTTTTGTAATGGGTGTTATTTTCTGTCCGGATGTTTTTGTGTTTAAAAAAAAAAATCTCTTACAAAGTCGCAGTGGCCAGCGGTTAAGTTAAGTAGTACATCCCATATGGTCCAGTGAAGAGTCCCGGCACAGCCAAGGCCGGCCGCGGTGCGTTCAGGGCCGCGTACAGGGACGGCGATGCTCCCAGAGGTGATGATGCGTTTAGTGGGAAAGGAAAAGCAAAGGCCGGCAACAGAGGCTTCGCAGCCAGTTTGAATTTCTCCAGCTCGGCCTCCTGCAGTCTCTTGGCCTTGGCCCTGCGGTTTTGGAACCAGATCTTGACTTGAGTCTCTGTGAGGCTGAGGGAGCTGGAGAACTCTGCCCTCTCCGCGATGGAGAGGTACTGTTTCTGACGGAACTTTCTCTCCAGTGACATGAGCTGAGAGGTCGTGAAGGGAGTCCGGGGTTTTCTGTTGTTCTTGTGTTTCCGAAGATTGCAAGAGGTCGGGCTGGGGAGTCCTGGAAGTGCAAATGAAAACAGTCAAAACCACAACATTAGCAATCATCGAGATCCTCATCTTTCGGCGTGTGTGTGTGATGTGTTTCAGTTTAGGAACAAACACTCGGAATCTGAATCATCACACAGAACAAGAACTCTTTTGCTTACTTCACAACATTGAGTTAAAATGATCTATTACGAAACTGAATGAAATATCCCATATTTCATTCAAGTAAACATGCTGCGTCAGCTGCCATCATACGGTCCTGGTTATTTATTTTGATGCTAACATCGATTGTTTCGTTCAAAGTCTGTCTGACATGTTATATGTAATGTAACTGTAAATAAACAATTATTTCACAATTGTTTTATTTATTACTTTTCAAAAATTATTTGATCCCTTTGCAGGACGATATCAATTTTACTGTAATTGGGGAAAAGTTGACAAAAACGAAATTCTTGAAAGAATATAAACACATTTTCATTTTGTTATTGCAGAATATTTTGTTTCCTTTTTTAATTACGTTGCAGAGTTTCATAAAACGTTATAAGGCATTAAAATTAATTTTTACATTTTTTCCAGTAAAATTATCTGGTTAGCACTTAAGCATCTCTGCATCGATGTAACAAAAACTCTTTGAGTTCGTGTTTGTAGCATCTTCAAACCTCAAATCTGGTCAAACCTGAAGAGAGTGAATGAATAAATCGAGCTCTGATTTTGTTTACAGAACACAATACATTTCCTTAAACAGTATTACAGTAAAATCTGATATTCGTTGGAGAGGTGACTCACTCGGAGGGGATCCATATGAAGCCTGGAACCAAGAGCTGCTCTCTTTGTCCCCTGGACCCAGCGCCTCTGCCGTGGAGCGGTAAAGTCCACTCGGTGATCCACAGTCCTTGTCCTCGGCGCGGCCACAGTCTGAACCAGGCTCCGGGGACTGTAGGCTGGCACTGGGAGTCCTTTTTGATATAAGAGATTCCACACCGAAGGGCAGGTCTAAACTTCTGGGTTTACATGTTCTGACCGGCGATAGTTCCAGCTGCTCAGTGGTTCGGTGCTCAGCAGGCGAAGTCATCGCGGAAGGCGGTGATCCCTGCGCAGGATTCATGACGCACGACTGAGGTGCCATACACCCAGTGTCCCCGCTGATCCCCAGTGCTGCCTGGAACGGTAGTGTTTCCTCCTCCAGAAGAACCTGTGGCTCCGCAGATATTCATCCACCGGTGCGCAGACGTGCAGTAGAGCTCACATCTGACGCGCGCTCCTGCCTCTCCGCTCCATGAAGTGCTACAGGTTTGACTTTCATCTCGCCGATAGCCTATCAGATGGACCTTTTGGCACGTGACCCCAACGGAACGGGCTCTGATTGGCAATGGCATTGATGCAGCGTGCGCTTGACAGATGTGAACCTATGAGCACAATTCAACATGCGTTAAATAACACAAGGTGTGTTATTAAGATGGCCCGTCGTCAAAGGACCTCTTTGTCTAATTTAATTTTCTATTTCTACCACCAGAAATGGAACATTACATCAATTTTCTTAGGTTATATTACTGTACAGTCAGAAGTATTTAAAATGCAATTCATTTGAAATATTGCTCCTAAAATGTCAATGGAGGAAATGTCTACAGAGAATGCAGGGGAAAAATGTGTTAAAAAACAAACTTTTTCTTGGCGGCATAAAAAAATCATCTTTGCCATCGTTTTTGCTCCCTTTTATTTCCTCCAATATATTTTGGACCATTTCTTTGGCAAAACTCAATTTACTTTTCATAGGCTTACCTTAATTTATTTTGTAGCTAATTAAACATCCTCTTGTCCTTCGCATTTTTGTACAGACCGTTTGTCCTTGATTTTCATTTTGTCCCAGAATATGAGTATTAATGAATATGAGGAAAATTTGGCACAAGTCGTGCAGTACAGGAACATGCACACGCACACAAAAACGCACGCATACACAAGCACCCACACAGGCACAAAGACCGCACAAGGGTTAAGAATATTAACTCATTTAAGGCTGAATTTATGAATAAATTATAGGCTTGCTTGTTTTTGGTCAAATTTTGACATGTTCAGCTAGTTTTTAGCATAAATTATTCACCTGGCAGCATGTTTTA